GCTGGCCCCATCCCGTTCGTTCCCTGCATGCTCCGTGCGGTTCCAGCCGTGCCGCCACCTCCGCATGGTGTTAGTGCGCACGTAAAGCCGCTCGTTGATTCTTACGGCGCCGTCGGGCAGCTCCCCACGGGACGGTCCTGGCGTGCGGCAGCCGCGTGCACGGCGCACCCTGGATGCGGAAATTCCCCGGTGCAAATTTGGCTTGTGCCACAAAGCGCTCCCCGGTTCTCCCAGTCGCCTGCCTGCAGTCGCGGTGCGCACAGTCATGGGCGCTGCGGTTGGGTAATGCGCATCCCTCGCTGGCACTGGGAAAACCGCTGGAGCAGGCCCATCCCGACGGGATCTATCCCTAAGGAAACGAGTTGGCTGCGCCAATGGGAGCAGCTGGAAGGCTCTGTGGTGTCCAGGGCTGGAAGCCCCTGGGTGCCATGGGCTGCTCTGGGACCCAGGCACATCTGGGTGGGCTCTTTGCTCCGGTGGACACAGCTGAGGGGCTCTTTGGGGCCATGGGCACAACCAGAAGCAGCCCCAGGGTGGCTGCCAAAGCTGGATTTGCACAGCTGGAGGAGTCTGGGATGCCCCAGGAACATCTGGATGGGTTCTTCGCCCTGGTGGGCACAGCTGGAGGAGTCTTGTGCCATGGGCACAGCTGGAGCGAGGTTGAGGATGAGGTGTAGAGCACAGCTGGATGGGTTATTGGTACATCTGGAGGAGTCTTGGGCGCCCTGGGCACATCTGGCTGGGTGCTTTGCTCTGGTGGGCACATCTGGAGAGCTCCTGAGTGCTGCAGTCCCCCTTCCTTGGGGTGCCAAGTGGGTCTCATGTCCCCATATGGGGACTTGCAGCAGCTCAGAGCTCAAATCCGCCCAGGACCTGTGGTGGCGGCTGCAAAAGGGGCTGCTTCCCCCCTGCCCCTGCCAGCAGCCCCTGCGCCCCCACAGCGGGTCCCTTTTGGGGGTACTTTGCTCTGTTTTGGTGATGCACGAGGATGCAGGAGGGGTGTCACAGCCTCTCCATTCCCACCTTGGAATGCAAAAAAAAAAAAATAAAAAAAAAATAAATAAAAAGGTGGGAAAAATAAAGTGGCGACGGATGTGGGGCTGGGGGTGGGCGGCTGCTCCTGACCCCGCTGTGCTCTGTCCCCAGCGCGGTACGTGGGCTGCTACGAGGACAGCCCGCGCCGGCGCACGCTGCGCGGCGTCTCCTTCTTCGACTACAAGAAGATGACGGTGTTCCGTTGCCAGGACAACTGCGCCGAGCGGTAGGAAGCGGCTGTTGTGCTGCCCTCCTGGCTCTGACGCAATATGCAGCCCGTTTCCCCCCCATTTCTGATTCCTCCCCTTTCCCACCCATGCTGGGGAGCTGCTGCCTCCTGGGTGCTTCCTGGGTGCGGGTGGCATCGTGGGAATCTCCCAAAAACCATCCCTGCTGTGAGCATCCCTGCGCCCGTCATGGGTTTCCCCCGCATCCACCACCTTTTTGGCATTTGCAACCTGCATTGATGCCACCCTCATGTGGGGATGTGCCATGGTCCAAGCTGTCTCTCTGCAAGCTTGTCACCCCCCTGTCCTGCTTGTCACCCCCCTGCCCTGCTTGTCACCCCTCCTGTCACCCCCCAGGGGCTACCTGTACGCGGGGCTGGAGTTCGGCGCCGAGTGCTACTGCGGCCACAAGATCCAGGCGGGCAACGTGAGCGAGGCCGAGTGCGCCATGGCGTGCAAGGGCGAGCGCAGCGA